TTAAACATTTTTATCAAATAAAAAGCTATTAATGCAAGAGTGGTTCCAACAAACCACCAGCTTGGGCTAAGCAATACCCTTTAGTCTTTTGTTATAAGAAACAGAACATATTAGTTGGAACTTTTATTATCTGACATTACCTTAGAACCTATATAGTCAGGAAGGAGCATGCCATGTCCGCGTTAATCTAGTCGATCTGACGGAAGTGGTAGCCATGTTGTACTATGGATGACTCATCTTCATATGATAAATGGTTTCTAAAATTGGTTTATAATTTTAGTGATTAAAATTTGTTAATAATTTAAATGTTTTATGTGTTAATTTAAACTTTTATCAAGCGTATGTTTTGTAGAAATTTTTAAAATGTGTTTAGTGTTTTAGTATTTATTTAGTATCACTGTTAATTTTAAATGTTCCACGTTAAAAGACAAACAAGACAATATGGTCAGTTGTTAGTCTTGTGGATATAGCAGCACAGTTAAAAGTAGAAAGGAATAATCTACATTTCATAAGCAAGTAATTTGTTCTCTCAATTTTTAACCACATTAAAGATTTTTTAAATTTTTATTGTTTTAAATTTGTAAACAAACATGGTAAGTGCGTCTGCGATCAACTGCCTGCTCATAAATGTAGTCTCATGGTTTATGGGGTATACATACTTTTATTTAAACAATTCTTTTATACAATTTTAAGATATTTATGTGGTTGTTAAAATGAATAAATTATTGTTCAATTTAGATTTATAAATTGATTGCAAGTTAACAATTCTCAGATTTCTTAAAGATTCTAGATTTACAAATTATATAAATTAATCTCAGGTAGACAATTTTATATATTTTCTAAAGATTCTCAAAAAACAAAGTTTTGGCTTGAGTTCATGCAGCAAACAAATTGTGAGCCAAAAAATCTTAATTTTTGTGTTCAGGCCATTTTAAAGCAGTTTGTTTTGATCGAACCTCAAAACCAAGAATAAGACTTCTACCAACAGCTGTTCCAACAATAAAAGTGGTCTGGTTGAAGTATATAAGTAAATAACTTCTTTACTAACTATATAATGTTCCATTTTTTCGTATAATAGAAGTTTATTGTATGAATGTGATGCACCCTATATAATTTATTACAAAGTTATTTACAAAAACGAACACAAATAGAATTAATAATATCTCAAGTAAGGAAATAGGTAGCATATCGCATGCCTCAAGATACTGTCTTAGGTCTTACCTTGTTTAATTTTATTTTAAATAATTTCTTGTTTAAATACAGATGGAAATATTCTAAGTTTTTCAGACGACACAGTTATTCTGCAAAATGCAGAGAACTGGAATTGATTAAAATTATTAATAGAAACAGATCCTATAAAATTTTTCGAATGGTTTGATCATAAAAACTTGATAAAACTTATGTTGTTCCATTATACAGTTACAAAAAGATGGCCTCTTCCTATAGAAACAATAATTTTTGAAGACTGACAGCTCCTATTTATCTTCTTTTATATCCTTTATTAAACTTGGTCAAACAAAACGTTCTGCAATTAGACATATTGTGGTTTTAACACCAGGATGGCTGATGTGGAAATGCTTGAAAAATGAATAACGTACACTTTTGGGAATAAACGTATTAATTGTATTAATAGGAACGTCGAAAAAAAACTGAAACATTTCCCAAGGATACTTGTTGAAATTCGAGTCCATCAAGATGTGGATATTAGTTTAGAAAGCTCCTCGTCGTGCTTTTGAGCTTCCACCAATGTAGAAACGGAACCCTTGACAACTGTGACAATTCGCGAGATGCATCTGCAGCGACGTTTAATTTAGACTTTATGTATTCTATATTAGTCGAAAATTGACTAATGTAAGATCTTAGACTAGGTAATTACCTAGTCTAAGTGTAAAATAGATGTAGAATTTGCCGAGGAGAAAAAATAGTTTTTTTCTGACCAAAATATTTTAAATTTGTGCTATCTAACATATGGAGTAGTTCGCTGGTAGCTCACGATCATAGGTAGAATATTTGTGTCGTAGTAATTTTCTTTTTTTAAGAGGATTCTATACCAATGAGTATGAAGACTAAAGAGAAGAAGGTGAGATTTCAAATTTTCGTCCTTCTTTTTATAAAGTTCGCGAAATTGACTGTAGCATGTCTAATGACAGCGCAGTCAATTTTCTATGTAAGTCAATGTAAAATAAAGTGATTTTTTAAAAAATTGATGAAAAGAATCAAAATAATGTGAAAAAAATTACCTGAGTACAAGTAACATGAATGACAAAAAACATCAAAGCAAGATTTACGTCGTTTCAGATTGTAAAACAGGATAAAAATCAAAAGTAAAACTAAATGAAATTAAAGGATGAGGTAATACCATGTACATTCCCAAATCTATTTTTATATTTGTATTACAAGAATAAAATATCTGTTTATTTTACTTTTAAAATTATATATTGGTTCAATTCAAAAAAAAATTTTTTTTCACAAATTTCGGAAATTAAGAAACCTTTTCAAATTTGGTTATACATATCTAATTTGTATTTTATATAGATAAAATTAAATAATTTATCAATTAGAACATGCAAGACTTATTTATAAATAAATACAACAGTATATTCTGTGCTTTATTTAGCTGTAAACAAGTTTAAATTTATTATTTTGACAACATTATGTATAATTCCCATAAGAAGCCATGTATTTTGAACAACGTATGCAGTACCAGCGCCCATGCGGTTAATTATAGGAGCTCAATTGGCATGCGTTTTTTGGGACCGAATTTTCCATTATGCCGATTCGTCTCCTTATCTCTAGTCTTCATACCCATCAGCTCCTTCAATTTCATACATAACTTTGAAATCCGCGGCCCCTACGTCTTCGCCATAATCCCCCCCTTTAAAGAAATTATTAGGCTGCCTGAAATACATTTCTGTGCATTTGTGTTTGCATGGTCTACCAATTCTCAGATTAGAATATCTAGACGTATCTTTTTCGGCCGTGGATGACTGACAAAATTAGATTTCTATATAACCGGTTTTTCTTCAATAATTTTAACACGGTTTCTAGTTTTTTTGAGCTTATTTTGTTTATACCTAATTACTTTTTATGAATACTTTATTCTGTAGCCTTTACACACTCATAAATAGAAAAGCGTATAAATATATGTAGGTAAATGTATTATTTGTTTTTATTTTGTATATTTAAGAGATACTCAACACATATATTACTAAACAGTCTTCGTCCAATGATAACCTAATTATGCGGCCCCTAAACGTTTAATATATATAATCGTACAATTTTAAGACTTGTACAACACAAAGTGTGACGTATTCCAACCAATCTTTTACTGTCTTGTTATTTGTACTTGCGTGAGTCCGATGATCGCCTAAGGGGACAATAAATAAATAAATATGGTTTTATTGGCATGTGAAAATTACAAAATTAAAATAGTATAATTTATTAAAAATAATTAGCCAAAAGGCAAAGTTCAGCTTTCAGATTTGCATAAGCAAATATAGAAGCTGCTCTTCCACTCAACCTCAATAAAAAAAAAATGGAAAAAGAAAAACTTATACTAAAATTATATCTAAAATAATAGGTATTAACTTAAAATACATATAATCTTAACTAGGGTGTTACAAAACTTGGCATAGTATAACAAACAAAAATAATGAAAAACAATTTATATTAGGTGAGAAATTGCTAACAGAAGAACGGAAAAACGTGTATAATGAAATTATGCTATATAATAAAATTATCCTATCGTATTACTTAATGATATTGCGCAGTTTGCCATTTAAAAAGTCTTCTTTTAATGTATGTTTCAATTTACCAAGAGAAAATTTAGAGTAGCTAAGCGGTAATCCATTTAGAAGCCAGGAAATATAATATGAAAAAAATCCTTGATATAAGGTTGTTTTGTGTAAAGGCGGCGTGAGTTTAGATTTAAAACGAATGTTAAGGTTGTGGACGTCAGTGCGGAATTGAATTTTATTATATAAGTAAGCAGGTGTTAGAGTTACCATAATCTTGCGAAACATTGAGCATGCATGCAATGTTCTTCTTTCCGCCATATTAAGCCAACCCAGTTCCTTTAAGTGTTGACTAGTATGATCACGTCTGTAAAGTCCACAAATAAAACGTACACACGAATTTTGTATCTTTTGTAAGCGAGTTTTATCAACACCTAACAAACTTGGTCCATAGACCACATCGCCATAATTGGCGTGAGATAGGACAAGAGAATCACATAACATGGCTTTAGTTCGTTTATTCAACAATGGTATAGTTGTATTGTTTCCTATAAATATATAAATCTTATCTGGGAGGATTTCTTATTTTCATATTCCTAGTATATCCTTGATCTCTGAGTTCGGGTAGCAGATATTTCCGATAAAATATTAGCAGTTTTTTCAAAATCTTTGTTTCCCAAAAGTTATTGTCTTTATTATTCTATAACAGAATGAACATATAAATTGAATAGAGACATATGTTGTTATACTTTACCTTCTGCACCATCATACCAAGTGGAGTCCATACAATAAAATAGCAATAGTCACGTTGCGTTATATGCAGTTGTTCCTGAATTTGATAAAAATAAGTGCTATTTTCTTTCAGAAAAAGACAATCATTTTCATGAAGGTTGCAAACATTTATTGTTTTATTCTTAATAGCATCCTTAGGGTCTATTTGTAATAAAATCTTTGGGCATTTGATCTTAATAATGCCATCACATCCAATAAGGCCATCTGGACTGGCAGCAAACATCCAATCTTCTACATCAACCCATAAGCCACATACAGTGACTTTAAAAAAATTATTTTCGAATTTATTTCTTGGTAGTGGTCCATGTTCTAATCCATATTTTGTTGAATTGTTTCCTCTAAAAGTTGAATACGATAAATTCTTAGCTTTGGCCTAGCAAGAAATGATTGGTCTCATTTTGCATATATCTCCAAAGTGGGATGCAGTTGGACTGCACACTTCTTGCTTGGTGCGCACTCAGGATTAAAACTTTGTCATCTGGTTTTTATTTCCGATTCTTGGATCTCCTTCTGGGTAAGCTCAAGGTGTTTCACAAATTCTGCCTCTTTCAGTAAATACTGTTCCTCAGGGAGATCTGAATCTCCTTGAGCATCTGGTACATGATATTTTTCTGCTGCAGCAACAATTTTCTTCTTTCTTATTATGGGCTTATTTAATCGTAACAGACGTTTCCTTTTAGTCCTGTTCGTCACTCTTTTCAAAAGTGAAGGTAGCTCGCCATGACCAAATAATTCATCGTAGTATGATACTAAATAGTGTCCCTGGGTATTAAAATAAACTGCAGCTGCTTCACATCGAGTTAAGTAAGACCTTTTACCTGAAAAGTTTATTCGTTTTTCATCTACAAATTTACAAACAATGGAATTGTATTGTTCAGCTATATTAGTGTCCATGTTTAGAATCACTTTGTGAATTGTATATCAGTCTATTGAAGCAAACTTTATTGTCAGCTAAAAGTTCACATTCTTCCATTGCAGGGACGTAGTTTGTTTCGTGTTCGTTCATAATATATTTAAAATTCTGTGAGCATAATTTATGCTGACCAAAAACGTGAGATACGACATTTTCGAGATGTTGCTTTAAATTATTGACTTTTTTTGAAAAATTAATATCGTATTTGACGCGGTGTAAAATTGCATATTTTATTGCAGTCCTGAAAGGACATGCATTTTTTTCGATTACTTTTCTCAGAAATAGTAAAACAGGTAATTTTTTTGAATTACTTCTCTTTCGGCCTATAAATCAAAAGAAACAACTATATAATCGATCTCTGGCAATAACAATTAAAATAAATAAATGTTCTTATCGCAAGAATCTCTAATTTTTGCACTCGATTTGTTCTACGAGAAGATTTTCATAAGTTTCATTTTCCATTATTTTATTATTATTAAGATAACTCCGTGCATTTCTAAACTCTTCTTAAAACCATCTATGATGATGTCACTTTCCATGCTTGTTGAAGTTCAAGTCCAATGTTTATAGATGGTCCGGCATATCTGTTCCTAACTCAAACAAAAAGTATCTTTCTTGTTCTTGCACCAATGACGCAGGCCTAGAGGGTAATATAGAAAATTTCAACATTTTGAAAACACCATACTTACTACACCAGAGTTAGCATTATACTGTACTGAATATGAACGTTTACACCAAGCGCTATCAGCTATTACCGTTATAAGCGGTGTACCATTCTTGCTGACTTCACCTAAATTTTTAGCAATCTCTGCCTCTTCCTATCCGGCTGACTCGATCGTCTACCATGTCACAGTATGAATAATATTTGCAACTTTGTATATTTATCGACGTAAATAATGTTTCACTTCCAGAATACCCAGAACCACTTGATAGTGTACCCAAAACCATTTCTGCATTAATGTTGAAATTGTTATTACTTTTAGGTTTACACAAATCTATGTTTTTTAAAATACCACACATTTTGCATATGAATGAAATTGTGCTATTCAACCCTTGGTGCTGTTCTTTAATTGGGTACATATCTTTAAATAAATATGCAAATTTATTATATTTTTGACACTATTCAGAGAGATATAATGCCAAATTTAAAAAAAAAAAGGTACGTCATTGCCGTGCCAAAAATGTTTAAATTAGAAATTATATTTCGACAAGATATGCTATCACTGATTTTATTACTATTAGGTTTGTATGGTTTTGCTCCTAAAGGGTTTAGATAATAAATTATTTAGAAAAATTAAGGGTAAAACCCTTGTAGAACTTACAGCTTGAATTAATAGATATAGTTACTTGTCTTCGAAGTTTGTGTATCCCTAAACTTCTAAAACAGTTTCTGAGGTATTAATTAAAGTTTGTTGAAGCATCTTGTCCATTTTGGAGATTTGTTTAATTGGTCGTTCTTATTTTATAACGGTGGAAGTAAATATGAATATAAATATGAATTATGAACTTTGTATAGGGTTTAAATTATTAAATAAATTAGTAAATAAATTGTTTGTAATACCACAATAATTTACTTAAAATATTCGTGAGTGAGAAAAAATATGTGGATAATTTAGGCACGTGTTGTATTCGGTAAGAAAATTTTATACTAAAATTTCAAAACATGAAGGACATTATTATTAAAATGCCCAAAATCAAATTTATAAAATTGTCCACGATAGGTATGTTAATTTATCATAGTTTGATCTCATTTGGTCCACGCGAAATATCCAATTATTATATTAGCATTGATGAAGATATACAAATTAGGAAAAAATTATACGAGCCATAGGATATTAGCGCAGCGAGTAATCATCCAACGCCTACCACAACTCCTGCAAGTTCAACACAGTTTGAATTCCATTTTAGTAATGCATTAGTGAGGTGTTGTCTCTAATTAAATAAAGACAATATTTGCGTAATTCCTTTGATTCTAGAATAAAGAATTATTTCTAAATAAAAAAAAAAACTAGATTTTAAAATGAATCTTTATATTTATGACTCTTGAGTTTACCATCGTTAAAAAAATGCCAATAATGCGGTCACTTAAAATTCCCGTGCAAACATTTAACTTTTGAGGATACTGTGAGAAAGTTAAAATACTTAAAATGTTTATTTTACTAAGAACAATATCTCACCATAGATGAATTATGTTTGTTGTACAATAAAAATTAACTCGTCGGTTGTATAATTGACCTTTAGGGTCTTTTGTTAATTCGGGTTAATACTACAGCTTTTTAGTTTTGAATGGCTTTAATTTTAAAATCAACCATTATTTAATAAATTACAGATCATGAATACAATCACCTAAATCATAACAAGGTCAACAAAATAAAATAAATTACTCCAAGTTAGCAGATTTGTACATGCTAACTTGAAAGATCAAATTTCAACATTTTAAAATAATTTTTTTTTATAATAAAACAATTAAATTATTTCATATAAAGGATATTCTTTTATTTTCTTGATGTTAAGGATTGAACATCGGTAAGTAAAATGTATTTAAGAAAGTTTTTATTTTGCCTCTGCCGATTTGTAATAATTTTGCAGGACTCCATCCGTCTGCAATTATACTATAAAAATTAAAAAAATACCAAATAACAAAATTTTGTTATACTTATTGTGACGAGTGACGAATAGGTAGGTATAATAATCTTGATGTTTATTTTACATGTTTAGCGATTCTATTACGAAGCTCTTAGATGCTCTCCGATGAATATTGACCTGCAATGAATAGAGATGGACGTACCTACACCAATAATTTTTTCCTAGCGTAAACTTAAATTTATTTTAATATCATGTAGGGTACTAACCAATAAAAAAATTGTAAAATTCACCTGGAATACAGATAGCTACAGGACCCATAAAGGTTTAAGAGTAGGTTTATATAGTACCAAGCCAAATACAAGAATCTCTCTGAGCTTCGGTAAACATGCGACAGAATTTCTGTCAAAAATAGCAGCAATACATGACTGCGCTAAGAAGGTATTAAGACAAAGTAAATAGAAAAATCATTGTCATATATTCAGACAATCAAGCGACATTAAAAGTACTCAGTTTTATGCAGGTACAAATAAAGCTTGAGGGACTGTCTAGAAACTCCAACAGACCTATGTAATTAAAACAGAATAACCTTAGCCTGGGTGCTAGGCCACAGAGAACATAATGGTAACGAAGATGCTAATTAACTGGCCCGATAAGGAGCCTCAAAAGCTTTTATTTGCCCATAACCCTTATGTGGTATCTCAAAGAATTTATCAGAACATGCACAAAGTAGTGAATGTTTAAAAGATCATAGAAATGATAGGACAGGCAGGCACATTGCCAAAACCAACCGAACATCTACTAAGCCACAATATAAAAAATTTGGATGATACAGTCTTACAAACTTTTTGGAAACTGAAATACTTGAAAAATCGTCTTTGAAGGGCCTCTAACCTATTAACGTGTACCTGATAACTGGGACTTCATATAAACAAAGCATTTTCAAGCATTAGGCGGATAATCGCTTATTAAAGATACTTTAACTTATTGCATTCTTAAAATCTCGACATTTCCAAATTATGAATCCGTACATGCGGCTTGCTGCAGTTAATATACCGTCAATATGGTCAATGAAATATAGTACTGAATAAAATGTAACGCCTAAATCCACAAAGTTATTCGGTCTGCATAATAAAGTGTTGCCTTTACTGTAATTGTAATCAATTTGATCAGAGGTTAGTGAATTAAACTTGACATTACACTTCGAGGGAATTAAGGTTATTTTCCCGACACCAATTGATAACTCTAAAAAGATTTTCAGAAAGCCTTTCACGATCCGCTACGTTCTTAATTGTTATGTAAAATTTAAAGTCATCGGCGTAAATTAAAGAATTAACATCAACTACATCCACGATGTCATTTACGATAATTTTACAATGCCCCTGGACTTGATCGTTGAGGAACACCGTAGGTTGTAGAATACTGATCAGACTCGAATCCATTTAATTAAACGTATTGTGTTCTGTTGGTGAGATATAATGTAAGAAGCTGAATAAGATTGTTTAAAAGTCCAAATCGGCTAGTTTCTTTACCAAAATGCCTATCAAATACCTTTGTCATATCCGTATAAATAACATCTGTCTAAATTTAGTTTTCAATGTTCTCTGAAATAAGCCTCGTGATTATGGAGAGATTTAAAACTGTTGAAAGACCTTTTACAAAGCCATGTTGTTGATCAGATATTATGTTGCTGACGTGTTGGTAAACTAGACGTTCCAGCACCATTCCAAACACTTTTCTAAAGTTACAGATAGGGCGATAGTGTTACACCTCAGTTTTATTTCCTTTTTTATATATGGGACAAACTCTTTTCGCACTGATGATTTGGTTTTAGTCCGAATGCAGGTATTAATAAGTACAGTTAAAGGACGAGCCAATGATACAGCAGTATTTTAACACATTCACCGCCAAGCCAATTTTCATAAAACTTCCCAGCACGCCACCCATAAGAGCATTTTTCCCTCGCATCACGCCAGGGCGGACAAAATTTTTCCGATTTTACCACGCCACAGCGGACACAATAGCGGACACAAATATCTCAGCGGGCACGTCGTAACAGGTCTGTTTGCCGAAGCGGATCGCGCGCCAAATGTCTTGCTAAGCTCAGTATTGCATAAATTAGCGTAGTAGACAGTGGTTTTTCGTCACAAGTTTTTTTCTATTTTGTTTTTCATAAAGTGACAATGAGCAGCAGATCGAGACATATTATGTCCCTTATGGAATGTTTTAATAAGGACCATAATAAATAAGTTTTTTTTGCCATTTTGTTTTTATACTAAAAAATGTTAAAATGTATGTACCTATAAAACATATATTTTTTTAGTTATTTGTTATAAATAACGAGAATTTTCTTGATATGTTTTTTTGTTTTAAGAATTGTTAAAAATTCTTGAGTTAT